AAAACCATTTCAACTTTAATGCTGTTCTCTTCTGATTTCAGAAGTAGCCTATTTATTCTGTGATTATGGGCAAGAGTAAACAGATTCCCTAGATGGTCTTCACCAAAGCCAGGCGTTTTTCACCATTTTTAACTTTCAGTCCCACATACCGTGAAAGTATAAGTACCAAATTAATAAAATCCTAGGTCTTTTGCTGTGATATTTCTGTTATGGCAGGAACACAGAACTTTCGAAGAACCTAATATTAGTTTATTCCTATGTGATACCTTTGGGTTTGCCTCTTAAATGCGGGGAAGTATCAGGGTAATTTGCTTTCTGTGTTCTCATCATGGAAATGCAAATTACTGCACAGCAGGCCAGATGTTGAAGAAAGTAGGTGCTTTGGTACAAGGTTTCCATCCTGAGTTCTAGCCTGAGGAGTTAGTTGAGCAGACAAATCTCTGCATCCTTTGGAGTTCATACTGAGTCTAGATAATTCTGAATTCAGAAAAAGTTCATGTCCTGGATGAGTTTCTAGTAACTGAGGGACAGCCATGCATTCTGAAAAGTGATTTATTAGTTACTTCAAAACAAAGTAGGGTCAACATTAGAGAGAGCTTGATATTCATAGGAAAACCTACCACTCCCACCATCCCTCCACCATTTTGCTCTGTGAGTAGGAAAAACAGCACAACACATTTGCAGCCTGCAGGGCTTTACTGCCCCTCGACACTTTTGCAGCTCCAGACTTGCTTTTCAGTGTTTTGAGCAATATGGGAGCTACTGGAGTCAGTGGAGAACAAGAGGGCTTTCTGGTGTGCTGCTGGTGAACTTCAGAGCTTCCAAGGAGAAATGTCATCTGCTGTCCCCCAGCTTTTTGCCTGTAGGTGTTCTTTGAGAAAAAGCTAATGCTTGTTGCATAGTGCTTGCCCAGGTTTGGTAGATAAAATACAGCCTAGTAATATGAGGCAGCTGTGAGCCTCGTTTTTCAAGCAGCACGTGGGTCATGAGTGACTCAATTGTTGTTGAGCAAATGAATGCAAGAAAAAAGGAAACTTTCTTCACTGAGACAAGCTATCAGCCTCCCTTGACCTGCCCTCCTTGTCTTCTGAGTTAGCACCCTGTGTGCCTTTGAGTCGAAAGGCAAGACAGCAGAGCGTTTGTCGCCAGTGAAAACTGTGCCAACGAGATGGGCTTAAACCAGAGAGATGTGATTTCCTCTGAGTGAGAATAAGAGTGAAGTAGAGATGGAGGAAAGGGATGCAAAGTATTGCATGTATCCCTCTAAGGGTCGCATTGCCCCCGTGTTGCACTTTGTCATTAGCTGAATCACTGGAGCATCCTGTCAAATCAGCCTCCTGCCTAGATTTTTAAAACCTCTAATTGGCACCTGCATGGTACCCACACGGCTACATGTTACCAATGCAACTCCATTTGCCCTGCACAACCTTTCACAGCTGTTTCCCCCAGTTTCAAGATGCAGTCAGTAACATACCATGGCATAAGGTAACCCTGGCTTTGGTTGGGACCCTGTGATGTGACCTGGCTTTTGTGCGACAGGAAAGCTTCACTTTATTCCTTTCCCTTTTATCCATTAAGCAAATGTTTTTCTCCATGTTTCCTGTTTATCACAAACTCTAAGCCTCTCTAGACAGGCTATTCTGAGCTTGTCCTGCTTTCTGATAATTGCATGTACATTAAAGCAAACACCCCTGCAGGGTTTCTCCACTCCCCTGTCCTTGCCAGCTCGGAGCTGGACAGCGTTCCATGGCTTGCAAGCACAGGGCTGCGCAAAAAAGGCATGCCAGGGGCTGGCAAAGCTCTGGGGAAGAAGGCAAAGCTGCTATTTCTGGCGTCTCTTATTTTGCCAGTGAGTTCAGATACCTGTCCTTTCCTAATGACATGATGGCTGCTAGATCCTCCTGCACCATGCATTGGTGACATCACTATTGAGATGTACAGTCCATGTCCAGCCATATCAATTTCTGGCTTCTCTGTGGGGATATGAAAAATGAACAAGATCCAGGAGAGTCACCCATCAGTAGTGGCTGCAGTAGTAATTTTGAAAAGGTGGTTTGTTGCATATTTCTGTGAACTGTTGTTTTTCTTTCAAAGGGAAAAGAGGCAGAACACTGCTATAAGATTTTTGAGGATGATCTTTACCAAATTGCTGTTTAGAGAGCTGGGAATCTCTAGATCTTAAAGTAATTACAAGTGTTACTATCTTGTGCCTCTACCTGGGGTAAAGTCCTGGACTACAAGAAGTACAGTAATGACACTTTTCCTTCATAAATGCCCTTCCACTGAAGGATTATACAAAGTCTTACTTGAGATGAGTAGATTAGTTTTGTCCTTGGTTTACAGATAGAAGAGGTAGCAGACTGAGGAAAGCTGACTGCTGCCTGCGCCAGAGTGATGCAACACACCACTGAACTGAATACACTGCAGTGAAATGCTGCCAGGCACATCAAGATAGATACTTCCTACCTCCCTGAGGTTGAAATCAAGACCTCCAAAACTGTATTTCCTCTCAGGATTTAGTTCCCAAGAAGTAAAAAATATGCACAGAACTTTTCACACTCGCACACTTAAAACGATGAAAGTAAAGAAACTCAGGTTATTTCTTTTTTAATTGTTTTCTAGAGTGAATCTGTAGGTAGTAAGTAGATATTTCCTTTCTACTCTGATTGTCTATTATTGAACATAGGCCATGCAGTGCTGTAGCTGAATCCCCTCGTCCAAGTGGTAGTCATAAGTCACTACCTGTTCTCATGCTTTAGGACAGTAACCAAGCAAGGACCCTGACTGGATGCTGCCATCCATCACTCACTTGGTGTGAACTTATGTTACCAGTGAACCAACCAAGAAGTTTTTCAGAAGTGAGTCACCAATGCAGTTAGACAGCCCATCGAATGGAATTTTATCTTACCTAGGCAGGATATCCTCCAGGAGGGAGAACATGGTTGGATGATCCTTTTCATAGCTAATGCAATGGTCACATTCCCCATGAAATACCTCGTCTTCCCCATCCAAAGGGAATTTTGTTGGAGTTCCAGTTTCTGAGCAGCTGCAGTACATGTTGCTAATGGTAAACCTCAGTACTATTGGAAGAATATTATGGGAGTGGGTGCTCCTTCTGTTTTGTTTTTCCTCATTTTTGAAGCAAATCCAACTTTTATCAGTTATAGTGTTGAACAAGCCCTGTGCAAATAACAGTGCATTATCTTGTAAGAGAGAAGAGTAACAGGTCTTTTGGAAGAGGAGACAAAAATGGAATAAACTAGCTACCCCCTGGGTTTCTGTTGGAATAGCTGTACAGTTGAAATCTACCTGACTTTTGTTTCCTGTTTTTATAAGTGGCTTTCATCAAAGTGCTGGTCATGAGTAAGTTAACGCCTACAGAGCTGTCACTGTCAAGTACTGTGTATCACTGAATTCATAGCAGTTCTGGCAGTGCTGAACTGTGTGCCTACGTGTTTAAATGCATTCCCCACTTCTCCGAAGGAGTTATTTCCAGAGATCCCAAGTGTGGAAGTGGATCTCTCAGATGACTTTTGACTCTGCAGAGGGGGGATAAGTATCTTTGAAAGACTTAGATTGGCACATGTACAAATAGCCTTTCCTCCATCCAGATACGTGAGGAAGGCTAAGGATGATATAGTGCAAGAGTTGCTTTTGCTGGTTTTATGCGGTGCTGTAGAGGAAGAGAGATCTAGGGTTGATAACCAGCATGCTGGGAAATCCTCCTCCTCTGCACAGTGCTGAAAACTACCACTTTTCTAATTTCCTGCAGAGTATCTTACTGACATTCAGGTAAAGTCTTTGTTCAGGCTTATAGCAGAGGATGTTCTCTCAGGAAGTTAAAGGACATCGAGAACTAAAGGTGTACTGGGGCAAGTTCCTGATTACTCATCTGATCCCTGCAAGGAAGATAGTAAGGAATGGTTTTGTAGTTTGCTTGTGTTTTGTTTGTTAATATAGCAGCTCCAGGGCAATCAGTTATTTGAAGGACTGGAAAAAACCCTACCTAGTTATCTTTGTTTGCTTCTTTAGGTCTTATCCCTGCCTTTGTGGATTCCTGGAAATTTGTTGTGCCCGACTGTGTTGTTGCAGAGTTTATTTCACTTATCTGAGGTCTCTGCAGTGCTACATTAACTCCCTTCAACTCAACCTAGGTCAAATCAGAGTGGTTACAGTGGTTTCGAGCAGCAGAGCAATTTTGCCAGGAGCTTCGGAATTGCACTGACTCCATCTCTAAAGAATACCCTTAGCAGTCACAATAGGAATTTTGGGTGAGAACAAGGCTTGTACTAATTACAGGGACTTAGTCACAACTTGTTAACTCCGTGTTGAAGACATGCTCTTAGAAGTAGCCATACTTGGACAGACTGGGAATTAAGAGTAAGTACAGTCTTACGCTTAAGGCTCTGAACACTGGCATCTCCAGTAATCTGGCTTAATTTCTTGTAGTGCCTTGTACTTCTTATGTCACTTCTTATATTTCTTTCCCTTTCTGTGTCTCAGTTCTGCAGCTATAAATTCACATTCCTGTTTGTCTTCTCCCCTGCATACATGGCAAGTTCTTCAGGATGGCTTTATTAGTTGAGTATGCAATACATAGTGCAGCATGGCTGTGGAAGGTCAGGAGAGCCCTACATGACATCTTAAGAGTTTCTGTGCTTTGAAAATATGTCATTGCCTTTGGATTGTTAGGCAGGAGCAGCCTTGAATGCTCATTTAACTCCCACAGCTAATTTTCTGTTGTAGATTTGGGACTTTTCCTTCAACCTTGAAATTTTGCTGGTTTCCTGTTCTGCAGGGCAGGGAGTGCTGAGACTGAATAAATTGAATTTTTCTTAAGTTACGTGAGTGCTAAATAAGATGCATTGTTACAATTTTCCATATCCTCTGCATATAAAGAGGAGTGGAAAATGAATAAATGAGAAGAAAATGTGTGATGATATCTAATGTACTCTGAGACCAAGCTTCTAACCTTCTCTGTTTCTTTTTCTTTCTTCCAGGTGGAGCGGGAAATAGCCATCCTGAAGTTGATAGAACATCCCCACGTTTTAAAGCTGCATGATGTTTACGAAAATAAAAAATATTTGTAGGTATTACTGGCTTTTGCCAGAGAAAGGGGAAGGGAAGGAGGAAGGAAGGGAGGGAGATCAGGGGTTTGGAACTTGGTAACATTTCTGGAAGAATGGAACAGGTGTGTTTTCACCCTCTGCTGGTGTCTGTTTGATATTTGGTACTTGGATGAGGAACGAACACTCATTACTTCCCTGTTTTTTTCTCATTTTCTCTGTACTTTCATAGAATCATTAAGATTGGAAAATATATCTAACATCATCATCCAACCATTAACCTGGTGCCACCATACTCACCACTAAACCATGTTCCTGGGTGCCAGGTCCACATGTTTTTTGAACATTTCCAGGGATGATGATTCCACCATTTCCCTGGACAACCTGTTTCAATGCCTGACCATTCTTTCAGTGAAGAAATTTTTCCTGATATCCAATCCAAACCTCCCTTGGTGCAACTTAAGGCCATTTCCCCTCATCCTGTCACTTGTTAACTGGGACAAGAGACCAACCTGTCTACAGCCTCCTTTCAGGTAGTTGTAGGGAGTGATAAGGTCACCCCTGAGCATCCTTCTCTCCAGGCTAAACAGCCCCAACTCCCTCAACCACTTCTCATAAGACTTGTGCTCCAGACCCTTCATCAGCTCTGTTGTCCCTCTGTGGACGTGCTCCAGCACCTCAGTGTCTTCTTTGGAGTGAGCCTTTACTTATATGCTGTTTCTTTTTTTATTTAAAATGGAGGAGAGAGGACAAACCAATATTTTCTATCAAACAGCAAAAGAGGAGAAAGGTTTGTACATGTAAGATCTGGAACCATTTTGAATCAAAGCTGTAATAGTCTTACAGTGTGTAATTTGGATAACCTCCTTTGCCTAACAGTTTTCATTGAAACCCTCAACTCTCATTAAAAGTGTTTTAAATTTTCCCCATCAATAACAGTTTTTGTTTTGAAGGGCCAGTGAAATCTCCTGATGGTTCAGTAGTAACAGCTATGTAGCAAAGCTTTTTTTTTTTTTAAGATTTTTTTCTCCCCAAATCATTACCAGTGGTAGACAGGGATGTTGTCCACAGACAAGCATTTTAGCTTGATTTAGGGCACTAGATATGTTGGATCTGTTGTCAAACAAACAGGCCACATTAATCTTGGTACAACAGGAAAAAAAAAATCAATGTTCTCCAAACGGAAAATGGTGACCCAGTAGGGAACTTAGTGTTATTTTCAGCTTTTTAACAGGTTATTACAAGTAGAAGAGAGTGGTTAAAGGAAGGTTAAACAGTTTTTAAAAGCCACTATCCATTGGTGACTTCTTTTTAATGTCACAACACAAGAAGGGAATGACTGTTTATCTAAAGAAAGTGTGTTGAATGGAAGTAACAGTCCCTTATGGACTATTCAGCCAGTCTTGTTACTGGAGCAATGAATTACTGTTCTGAGAAGTGAGACCTCTTTGCCTAAGGGTTAGGTTAGTAGAGCAGGCAGTAATTTCTTTTGGATTCCCCACACTCCTTTGGGGCAGAGCCTGCCATCCACAGTGAAATGCAGTTGCCAGAAAGAGCTTGTGCAGGCACTGGGTGGAAGCTGGCTCAGGTGTTCTCAGAGCTGCATGCTCAGTGCTCTGTCCTCAGTGGCATAAATGGTCATGGCTCCATGAAGCCCAGTTTACCCCAGCTGAGGACAGAGGCCCAGATCTAACACAGCCTTTTCTGTGTGCAGAATGGTAGCAGTGGAATATCAGGCTTTACAGGGAGTAAGTTTTCCTTTAATCCTGAAAAGAGAGGCACCGTTGGTGAAAGTACATTCCTCTGTATTCTGGTTTAACGGGGGGGGGGGTAGAATGAGGCCCAAGGCTTTCTTTTGATTAAGATAGAGAAAATATTCCTCTTTGTGATCTTTATTTGTTTCTATGTTGTGTAATCCTAGGTATGCACACACTTAACATAAACATAGCGTAGAGCTGATGTGTTCCAGATAGGTGTGGTATACTTTAGCAGCAGTGACAATGTATGAATACATGCAGGAGAAGGGCCATGAGGGGATGTGTTTTAAAGCTGCTGAAGCTTTATTAATGCTCTAGATGCCTGTGCAGCCAGCAGCTGAACTGACCTCTCCTTCTTTACTCCAAAAGACTTGGGGGCTGTTCTACTCCTTGTGAAAGATATCTAGTGCTCAGAGCAGTGGGGATGGTGTTACACCATTATTTCCAAAAAAATACTGCATTTCTTGGCAGGAAAATATCTTCCTGATGAAGATCACCTTGAAAAGAAAAGCATCCCATATCTTTAAGCTGTATCTGGATATCCTGGCTTCTAAAAATGTTGGGCTCCAAAGCATGCTTTCCCAGTGACCATTTAGCCTTTAACAACCGCTGAGTCTGCTTTGTGCTGTAGCTCCTTTACCTGTAAGATTAAGCTGTCTGAATCCCCCTGAAAAGACACCCTCTGCTGAAAGACACTGATTCTGAAAGAACCAATGACTGTTAATTATGTTTCATTTTTTATTAGTCACTATTTTAAAGAAAGGGCACAATGCAGAGCTCCTGCCAAGCTTCCATGTTCAGAATTAGAAACAACTGTGGCCTTGGATAAATCTGAGACGTGGAAGAGAGTGCCTATGGAGGGGTGAGGTATTACAAGTGTGTGGGGGCCGAGAAGTGTGTGTGCATGTACTTTCCCAAGTAATAGACATGGTGACCTCTGGTTATCACCAGCATCAAAAAAGGGATTGCTCTCTGGTGGTGGCAGCACCTTTCCATCATGCATGCCATCTCAGCAGTAACAGCAGTGGCATGGTTTCAGAGGAGCTCATGAATTATGGGTGATATTTCAGAAGCCAGAGACTAATCACAATGCAGCGCTGGGGAGTATTTCCTCGATAAATGTTAATTTCACAAATCATGTTTGACTTTTAGTTTATGATTTAATTTGTGACAAGAGGCTTTGGTTGAGTAGATTCCTAATGCAACCATGAATCAAATCCTTTTTCCACAGTTTATTTAACACTGAAAATGAGTTTTAAAAAATAATAATAAAAATCTGTTAACATATGTGTGTTAGCCAAGCAGTCTTTCTCTGTTTGTTTTAGTCGGGTTCTTTTTGCCAAGATGGTTGGAGAGATGGAGAAAGCTATGAGATCTAAGATTTAATGCTCTAAATGCTCTTTATCCAGCATTTTGAGTTATCTTATTTAGTAAGACTGTGGACTATAGATCTAGGAGCGTGGGGGAAAACATGGTTGCACTGAGGCTCTCTGTAAGTGTACTGATATACCACCTCAGATATACATTTTGTTGGCCAAACGAGCAGTATTACTGACAGGTGAATTATTTTGTGTTTGTTGTACGATGATGCTGATGGCCTTCAAGCAAGGTTGGGAGTCCACAGTAATAGATAATTTAGAAATAACCATAGACGTTCAATGCCTCCCTCTCTCCCATCATATAATGTTAATAGACAAAACATCCAGGAAGGGGGCTCGTCCTCCAATTTTAAATATCAAGAATGAGTCAAAGTGGCCTGGTACAGGACATGATCAGTGAGCTACCAAAATTTGTGTGTGTACCAGTCATTTTGAGTAAAGAAGTTCAGATAGTCAGGAATTTTAGGGTAATGTAAATCATGGAATCATCACAGAACGGGTTTGTTTGGAAGGGACCTTAAATCATCTCATTCCAACCTGCCTGCCATGGGCAGGGACACCTTTGATTAGATCAGGTTGCTCAGAGCCCCATCCAACCTGACCTTGGACACTTCCAGGAATGGGGCACGTACTAATGAACTAAGGGACTGAGTAAGTCAGTAACAAAGTTTCTGTGTGTTCTGTAATGCCTATCATCAGAGGGGACACACTCCTTTGGTCACACGGTTTCTGCGTTGCATATGAACTGTGTGAACCTGGGTGATGGTCCTATTTTCTCTGTGCTGTGTATAGAAAAGGTCTTTCCTGAACTGACCCTACACAGTGTTTGTGTAGCGACTGGAGAGGAAGGTGGAGTTCGTACACTGTTAGCAGCACTACCACTGTGAATGAATGAGCAGGAGATTCTCATTAGCAGACTTGTTGAGGATTAAAGAAGAGGAAACATGCAAAGCCCAGTCCTTCATGAAAGGACTGGCTCGTATGTTTTCTAGGAAGAAATCTTATGCTTTATTCTTAAATCTCTGTTATATATATTTACTGCATTTCATTTACTGTGTTTTATGCAGTACAGTTAGCTTTTGTTTTGATCATAGAAAAGCAATTGTCCCACTGTTGGAGGAGCTGTTAGCATAGCAAACTAAGTGCTATCATACAGTCCACAGTAGATGGAACTTGCCATTCCAGAGGGGATAAAGCTAACTGATACAGTTCTATTGCAGAACCCCCAACAGAGGTGGCATTATCTGTTTTGAACTCATTTGATTAGCTATTTAGTTTAAATTGCCAGGGGTTTGGTGTGGAGCAGAAATAAAATAGAAAAATACCATACTAGGACCACTCCATGTTTTCTTTCGGATGTTTATACTGATATTTCTCTATTGCCTTTCCATCCATGTTTATATATCTATATCTCTATCTAGCTGTATATATATATCTGTAAATTTCTGTTTCTGGGTGCATACAGATATTTGTGTGTAGATTTATACTGATTAATTTTGAAATCTTCACATTTAAGATTTCAAATTTTCAAATTTTTTGGCAGCGTTTATTTTAAATCTCTATCTTGTACAGCTTGATCAGCATTTTAAGCAAGAATCTGTTTTGAGAGAAGGAGTGGATGCCAGGCTGCTGTTCTCTGAAGTGTACCATGCATTCATCAGCACCTTCTCCAAGTACCTTTCTCATCATTCAGTAGTACAATGCTATCGCTGGGCAAGGGCCCAAGCCTCACTGCAATGTACACAACACACCACCTCCTGATTACAGAGGTGAAGGTGCATCACAATGAACCAGATAACAAAATTAAGACGTCCTCCTGCCCACACACAACTTAAGTTTCTGGCTTATACAAGATCAGCTGACAGCAGGAGTTGAAGACGTACA